CACCGTAAAGTCAAATTTATTTTCTTAATATGTGTGAAGTCAAATGTGGAACTTGTTTTGGAATCGGATGGAGTATTTATTTTCACTAAAATTTATTTAGGGAAAAGGGGCAAAATCCTTCCTGAACTTGTCACTAAAGAACATCTATGCCCTTAAACTTTATCTTTGTGCAAGTACCTTTAAAATCTTTGAAAGAAGGGCAATCAGCTCCTTTTACAACGGTGAACCAATCAACGGAGTTCGCAGTTATGTAGTACGTAGTAGGGGTGTTCGTCGATTCGGTTTGGTCGGTTTTCGGTTTGGTCGGTTTGGGTTTTAGAAAAGGTGAAACCGTAAACCGAATCGCATTACTTGAGTCGGTTTCGGTTCGGTTTCGGTTCGGTTTATTTCGGTCGGTTTGATCGATTTCGGTCGGTTTTAGCATGTTTTTGTCGGTCGGATTCGGTTCGGTCGGTTTTTTAACCCAATCGTAAACCGAACCGTCAATGATTAGTCGATTGAGGTCGGTTTCGGTTTGAGTCGGTTTCGGGTTTGGTCGATTCGGTTTTGGTCGATTTGTCGGTCAGTTTGTATGTCGGTTTCGGTTTTTCGGTTTTTTGTTCACCCCTAGTACGTAGTATAGTACTCCGTATTATTTACTCTTTTGGATACTATGACCGTGTATTGCAAATTAATTTGAGAGTATCTTTGTTTTCAAGTGCTGGTTTATACTCATACGTATAATATTTGAGGTGGGACTGGGATGGGTATAAAAAATTAAATTGATTAGTTAAACAGAAATTAAATTTATTCAAGTTCCTTTTCCGAAGTCATATCAGATCGTATCACGGCATCAACACTAATTATTTTCTTATTTCGTTTGAACGTAAAATTAAATTACACCGCATCAGCCGCAATAGCCCCAATCGCAGTTACCGTAATCGCAATGCTACCCAATAAAAACATTGATATAGACTAAAGAGTAAATATATAATATACTCTGTATGAGGATGGATAATTTAATATATAGTCATTTACAATATAAAAAATTATTATTGTTTGTGGTTAGATTATAGTAAAAATGCGTCATATTAAACTTTGTATCTTATAAATGATTCCCAAATTGATGTGTCGTTGTTGGGGCACTGTGATGGGCTTTACACTAGTTTGGCACTTATTTAAGAATGGGGAAGTATTACGGAGTTATTAATTTCTCATGAACGGGGAAGTATTACACAGTCTGATTATTTTTCATGATTAGACTGTTTATTTTTCTGTTCGTTACTTTTATTGTTATAAGACTCTTGCATTATGATTGGGTGATGGGAGGTCTGCTTAACCGTCGTTGGCTCATTTATGCCCATTATATGATCAATGAGTTATATTGCTTTTCTAGAGGTGATTGACTCTAAGTTTGGTTCGGGGGTTGACCGTTGCTTGTGGTCCTTTGATCATTTTACGCCCTATCTGAATGTTGTGATATCAATTTAAGCCATCCGTTTTGACGATAAAAAAAATCCGGGGAATCCAATAAACACTCCAATGATCTGAAAAACACATCAGTATTAGTTGCGGCCGGATGCATGCGGCGTCGTTGATTTCTTCGCGAATTTCCTCCGTGATTCAAAAACCCACTGGTATAGCAGCCTGATGCGGTTGTGCCGCCGCCCGTGACCCAAGAAAAAGCATACTCCCTCTGTCCCCCCTAACTTTGTCCCTTTACCTTTTTCGTTCATCCCATTAAGTTTGTCTCATACCATATTTGGTAATATTTGAGTGGTTACAATTCATTCTTACTTTATTCACACTTTATCGATTCAGTACCAAACACACAATTCCACTTTTTCTTAAAAGTTGTGTCACACCCCTTTGTCTCAAACATATTGGACAGAGGTAGTATGTAGTATTATGTCTCGGTTTGATTTGATTCAGTTTGGATTTGTTATGTGCTAAAATTATTGTCCAAAGTTTGACATCATTGACCTAGAAAAGTCAATATGACGAACTTTTTCGGGACGGGGATATTATATGAAAACACAACTAAAATGTTCTGCTAATTTATGGAAAAAATATTTACGACATATCTTGTTAAAAAAATTATGATATATCTCATATTTTCTTATTATAACACAATTTAGCCCGCAAAATTAAAAGTTAAGTATTTGGTGAAAAAGTTAGCTGATAAGTCTGATAAACCGAAAAGAGAATCATTAATCGGACAATTAATTTTTTTATGGAAAGACAATCCTTAATAAGTAAATTAGTAAGTAATTTGTTATTGTAATCATGAATTTATTCATAGGATGCTTATGAAAAAACACTTTTCATATTTGATTTGTTATGCCGGAGTAAATGCTAGCCAAAGGAGCAACTTTAGCATAGGTTCACCGTTAAACAAACGGGGTAATTGCCCTCGTTTCACATATTTGAAAGCTTTTTGCACAAAAATAAAGTTTAAGGGCATAGATGCTCCTCGATGACAAGTTCATTAGAAAGCTTTTTGCTTTCTAATTAACCCCCCGACCCCCCTCTTCACCCCCCACCCCGACCCCCCTCTTCACCCCATCCCTCAAACACCCAACCCTAACCAAGAAAAACAAAAAAAAATTGAAAAACCCCAAAAAAATAAAAAAAAAGCTTGGGCCCGCCCCGAACCGCCCGAGCCGGTTCAACAAATACAGGGCCCTACCCGGCCCGCCCAACCCTCCCCCACCGGGTAAAAGCTCGGGCCCGGTTAGCACCAATCGGGCCGGGCCGGTCCGAGCCCACACAGTGGCGGGCCGGGCCGGTTCCGGGTCGGGCTGAACCGGCTGGTTCCACTCATATATTATACCATGTATACTTCTCATTTTCAAATGTTCCAAATACTTCAATTTCGTTTTCCTTTCAATTTTTTGAACATTGTAAAAGTTAGCTGGCTATATGTGAGCAAGGTCATCTCTAGGCATTTGATTTGCTTTTGGAAATTGTTGGTTTGAATTATATTGGTTGGCATTTGATAGGTATTTTTACAATTTGTTTTCCAAATTTGTAAATGGAGTAGGATAACAATTTGCTTATTTTGACAAAAATTCAACAGGGCATTGTGATAGTCCAAGTGACCTCTATAGGCTTATGTCTCATAAGTTCTATATATTTTTGATAGAGTATATCTAGAGAAAAGTGAGAGCTAGAGAGAGAAGTGCAATAATATGCTTCAATAGAATGGATTTGTAACCCCTATAACTACTCCCAAGGGGAGTATTTATAGAGAAAATATGGGCTGGGCTCCCAAGCCTTGGGCTTGGGAGGCCCATCTACAACTGGACCGCTACTGGGCCGAATACAAAGCCACTAATGGGCTGTACAAATGAGTAAGTGTAAAATCCGGTTCTGGGAGGTCCTCGTGGCCGACGAGGGCGTGGCCGACGAGGGCGCGGCCGACGAGGGCACCCGGGTTCCTTGGGCTCAGGACCATAATCTGAGTTGGCCCATTTTCGGCCGACGGGGGCGTCTTGGGCGACGAGGGCGCCACTCTGTGTCTTGTGGTTTCTGTTCTTCCGAGTATGTGGGTCCGGGGGCTCAGACCCATATACTCCATCAGGAGTCCCCCACTCTCTAAGCTGAGACGTAAACGAAGTGAAGGAGAGTAGATTTCCGTGCTTTAGTGCTTTTGGCCGATGCGGGCATCCCCGGGCCGTTAGCCGTTGCGGCGTTGGCGTTGTTTCCTCTTTGGTGATCATGTTCTGTGCTTTGGCCGTTACCTGTTCCTCGATGTGGGTGGGGAGGCCGTTGTTTCCTTAATGTGTTCATTTGAGGATGATGAGTGTCTTGTTTCAATGGCGGCCGTTGAAGGCACGCTTTCCCTTTCCTTGACGTTGGTGGTTGAAGTTTGTGTTTGGGCCGATGAGGCCGTTGAGGTTGTTCCTTGCTTTGAGGACGATGGCGTCCTTTCCTTTGGGTGGCCGATGAGGGTGCTCGCGCACTCCTTTTGGCCGTTGTTGATGATGTCATGTGCCTCTGGCCGATGTGTCCATTGTGGTGCGTGGACGATGTGGCCATGCTTTGTGGTTACGTTCATGTTCTTTGCATTGTTCCTCTTTGTTTTGTTGAGGCCGATGTAGTCCCCCAGTCCCCCACTGCTTCAGGCCGAAGAGTGTGAGGGGTGAAGGAGTAGCTTGGGTCGCTGGCCGAAGCGGCCTCTCCGTAGTCCCCCTGAATCCAACCCTCATGGCGATTTTCTGGCCAAGGTAACCCTGTGGGAGAACCCTTGTGCGCAGATCGCTTGTAGAGAGTTATCAACGAGAGCACCAAATGATAGAGTATATCTAGAGAGAAGTGAGAGCTAGAGAGAGAAGTGCAATAATATGCTTCAATAGAATGGATTTGTAACCCCTATAACTACTCCCAAGGGGAGTATTTATAGAGAAAATACGGGCTGGGCTCCCAAGCCTTGGGCTTGGGAGACCCATCTACAACTGGACCGCTACTGGGCCGAATACAAAGCCACTAATGGGGTGTACAAATGAGTAAGTGTAAAATCCGGTTCTGGGAGGTCCTCGTGGCCGACGAGGGCGTGGCCGACGAGGGCACGGCCGACGAGGGCGCGGCCGACGAGGGCACCCGGGTTCCTTGGGCTCAGGACCATAATCTGAGTTGGCCCATTTTCGGCCGACGGGGGCGTCTTGGCCGACGAGGGCGCCACTCTGTGTCTTGTGCTTTCTGTTCTTCCGAGTATGTGGGTCCAGGGGCTCAGACCCATATACTCCATCAATTTTAATTTGTAAAACACTAGTAAATTCATACTTCCTATCAAATTGAGATATCATGGATAGACTGCACTCAAGAATGGAAACTTTATCATCATGTAGGGATGTTAGTAAGGCGGATCATACTCATACTCCAAGTAGTGAGAGATGTTAGTAAGGTGAAAATTTTGTCAAGTCATAATTACTTTCAGAGAAATATTTTTCTTAATTCTTCGGTAGTTATTGTAAAAGAGGCTCACCCTTGAGGTTGAAATGATTTCAAACAAATCAATTTGTAAAGACACCACCACTTTAATTAAGGAACCGCCAAGTAACAACACATCTTCACTTCTATGATTTCTTTGCTTAAACGCACAACATGATCATATGGGAAAGTGTACATATTACATTGTAGCATGCATTATCTCACACACGCAACGCGCGCCGAAAAACTAGTTATTACAATACACAAAAATGTTTTGAATGCATAGTGGTATTAACATGGTCTATATCAATGTTGCAATGAACTAAACCTAAAAAGGCGTTTTATAATAAGCAAAGAAATGTGTACATTAAGCATCCGACCCATTTGTGCCTCCGGATTCTGGTTTTATGACCCAACTATGCACTCGTTGTTGAGCATTCGCAACCTGTAAAATGTGTATGTTAAGATAAATGAGAGAAAGATGACAACGGCACGATTTCCTCTATGCTATCCTTCCAAGACAGAAATATAAAAAGCTATCCACACAACCTCACCCCAATTTTATTTAATTTTTGTTTAGTTGTTATATGTGTACATAAAAATATTTTTTTACGGTGAATCACCACGAAGGATGTCCATAATACATTGAGGATATGATATTTTCAAAACATAAAATCTGGAAAATAAATAATGATAGTGATTTTAGGGGTGACACTACTCATAGACCGTATTACATTATGATAAAGCGACTTAAGCTGTAAAATATCAGAAAGTAAGTTATTGAAGTATGAGACACTGATAAGTCCGTATTTAGACACGCATTTGATGCGTGTTGAGATTGGCTTTTGATGATTTTCCTAGCTTTAAGGTGTTACAAGTCTCAATTTTAGCTCAAGTTATGTTTAACAGGCGTTGGTTCGAGTTTTGTGTCATTTGGAGTCAAAATGAGGATTTTAGAGTTCGGCACCGACGCTTGAGAAGAAATCAGGATGAGTTGAGAAGCATTCGAGAGTGAATTGAAAGATTTGGAGGTCACCGGGAGGTTCACGATGAAGTTTTGACGACAAGAGAGCTCTAGGAATGGCTACAGGATCAAAATAAGATGAATGAAGCTTGAAATCGACGATCAGGATGACCTTCTGTCAACCGTTCAAGCATATCTCTTTGTAGAAACATTCAATGTACACGATTCAAAGTCCATATGAAAGACAACTTCAAAGGATACAAATCATATGAAGACACCATTGCGATAATCTGAGAGGAAGAAGGTGAAAACAGATGATGAAGTCAGATGATCTCTGTTGCGATTTCAGAATGAGACCTTCCACCATTTCGATCATATCTCTTGATTAGATGATTCAAATCCGATTCCGAAAGTTGTGGTGGATAGAGGGCTTCATTATCTACAACTTTCATGAAGGAAGCATTTCCAAATTCGGAAGTTAAGTAAACACGATCGTGCCCTCAAAGTTAGGAATGAGCTAGTGGAACCCAGGCACGGTCGTGCCTGGCAGGCAGGCACGCCGCGCCTGAAGAAAAAACGAGGAACGAGCTACTGGAGGCCAGGCACGGTCCTGCCTGGTAGTTAGGCACGCCGTGCCTGGATGCGTTTAAACGGAATGCTTCCATAGGCACGGTCGCAGGCACGGACGTGCCTGGCGCCGTGCTTGACCCCGTTTTGTCCTAATTCAGCCCAAATTGCCTTGTTTCCTATAAATATCACCCCCATAACCCTAATAAGGGGGGATGGAACTTATCTAGCAGCTTAAGAACGAATTTTGAGAGCTTTTCAAGCCTTTTTTTTTCAATTCTTTGAGATTCTTTGTAAGTTCCTACTTTTTGATTAATAACAATTAATTCTATTCTTCCCAATTCTGTTGATTCTTCAATTATGAATTGCGAGTAGTTTTAATTAGGGATTTGGGGTTGATGAAGGGGTTTATCATGATGTATGATTAGGTTCTTGATGGTGTAAATTGCATGAATGCCGTTTAATTTGTGTTTGAATAATTTAATTGATGTCTTTTGTAACCTAGAATGGCCACTAGAATTACAATCACATGTAGGATGAATTAAGAGAGATCTAATTTGTTCTATGACACATTCACACACACTTAATCGTTCGCTAAGAGATTAGTAGCGATTAAGGGGCCGTAAGCTCGTTCGTCTTGGCAACAATTTAAGATCCTGTCGCATGAAAGATTAGCCTGGTCCCCTAAATTATTGTACTCCACGCCGTGAGAGCGGTAAAAACTTAGTATTAATTAGCTAGGCTCAATTAAATTAAATTCATGTAATTAGGCCTGATCTGCCAGAAATCTGATTACCCCGGAATCAATCCCTGTTCCCTTCGTCGTTAATCAAGAAGAACCCAAATCTTTACTTTTATTCGCTCATTCGCATTAGTTTAATTTCAATTCAACCAATCAATCTCGCACGACGCATTTTTTTAATTTTATTTCTTTTTAATCGCTGAATTTAGTTAATCTTTAATTCCCTTTTGTCTGTCCCTGTGGAGACGATACTCGTACTTTCACCACTTTTCTACAATCTTTTCAAGTGCGAGAAAACTCACATCAGACACCAAAGTCCAAAGTTCCGAACAATGTCAAAAGAGTTTTTGCCATTTTTAGTCCTCCGACTATTATGTCATTGATACTTTTGATACTTGACTTTGACTTTGATACTTTTAGTCCTCCGACTAAAAGTACCGAAAATGGTACTTTTGTTACTTTTGGTACTCATAGATCCGCCTTACATTATGTCATTGATTTTTTTCACTTTTAGTCTTCGACTATTGCGCTAGAGTGTCTTAATACCCGTCTTCAAAAAATTCCGTATTTAGTCCTCCGACTTTCATAAAAGTCACACTTTTAGTTCTTCAACTATTATAATAATGACATTTTTAGTTCTCCACTTATTGTGTCAAAAGAAAAATGCTAGAAGTACAAACACACTTACAAAAAAACTTACAAACAAGTGATGTGGCTATTCTAATTACCATTGATGTAAAAGTGTTGTAAATGTGATGTGATGAGTTAAATAATGTGATGATGACGCATACCCCTTTTGTAAGACTTTTGTAAAAGTTTTTGTACCTCTAGCATAACTCGTGTCAAAATCATAGTAGAAGGACTAAAAATGTTGATTTTATAATACTCAGGGCACTAAATGTGGGAAACTTTGAAGTCGATGACTAAAAATGTCCCTAACACAATAGTCGAGGACTAAAATTGGAAAAACTAAAAGTCAGGTACGAAAAGTGTCAATGACATAGTCGGAGGACCGAAAATGGAAAATACTCCATGTCAAAAATAACCTCGAAAGCATTTGTCTTGATTACTTGATGTCAATATCTACTCACTTTTTCTTCCTTACACCCAATCGAGTGTTTCCTCGACTCCAAGTGCATCCACCTCCCAAATATCTAGACACTCCAACCACAAAACCATGATCACTTCCTGCAAAATACAATCCACTCTACCACCACTCATGTTCATAGGAACCTTTACCACCACTCCAAGCCTAGGCACCACCATTGTGGGTTTCATGGCGCCAAATCTAGGATTTCTAGAGGGTAGAGCTAGTCACTATCAACGGTGATCGCTAACCGGTCAGAATGAGTGGGAACCGGTAGTAACGACATCCCTTTTTCCAGCATTCCCACACCCAATGACTATCAATGATGATGGGGGCGGCGATGATGATGGCGGTGGTGGCCAGGTGGGGTGACAGGGCGGCATTGATTAATTCCACTGTTCTAAATTTCAGGCTAGACGGTGGCTAGACCGCAGACGCTCCGTTTACTATGTAAAAAACGATCGAATGGCTAGGCGGTGCTGAGGCGGCCTTAAATAGATAAGTTCTCGTTCCAACTAATAAATCATTTGATCAATAATTATTATATTCCTATTAAATCTATTTTAATATTTCTGGAATAAAACATAAGTTTTCAATGTATATAAAACATAAACTCATTCAGAGGATACAACCACAAATCTTTTATTTTATTTAAAAATTTCTATTTCTATTTCTATTAGTTATTTTATATCTTATAATTTTACTACAAAAATATAGCATCTAATAATTATATGAGCTATTTGTATTGTAAAACTATTATAAATTAATTATTCAATAATATTAAAAAACACAGGGAATATAAAAGTAATACTCCTTCTGTTCCTAAAAATACTTCCAAATTTCCTTTTATGGTGTCCCAAAACAAACTTACACTTTCCCCTTTTGGCAAAGAATTTGTGGTTCACAACAATTTTTATACATTTCGCTCTCCTCTAGACAACTCTCCATCACACAATACCTAATATCTTAATCCTCGTGCCATTTGTACTACAGAATTAAATTTAGGGACCAAAGGAGTACAAAAGAATAGAGAATGCATATGCGCCTGCCTAGGCGGGCTAAGCAGCTGATCACCGGCTCAGCGCCCGACTAGCATCCAACGCCTTTTGAAACATTTATTAATTCTTAATTATAATAAATGTAATGATACAATAATAAATGTAAAATTAAATAAATGACATAAATGATACGGGTAGTAATTTTTTAGGAATTTCAAAAGAAATTCATATATTTGTCTATTGTATTTATTTTAGTAATATCCATAAAAAGGCCAAAAAATACTATTTCTTCACTCTCGAACTCCCCTCCAATCTATCGTCCCCTCCCTTTCAACCCCTCATATTAATTCTCCCTTGAAAAACCTCAACCCGCCCCCTTCCTCATTTCCCAGGCCACCACATCCCTGCACAAAAACCTTCCTGAAAACAACCCCTATATTTTGGGATTTTAAGTGATTTGTACTCTTCCATTATGATTTTGAGGATATATACTAGCTAAAATATTCACTTAGAATAAAACCATGGGGTGAAAATAAAGAGGTCAACTTTTCAAAGATTAACATGTAGCTAGAATGCAAGTATAGAACTAAAAGAGTCACTTTCTAAAAACAATATTATAAATTATTAAAAAGAGATGTGAAAGTTGTAGATAGTACCTGTTTGTCCCAATCGGTTCTAAAAGTGATAATGAGTAACACCATGGTCTGTATGAATGTACCAAACAGCATTCCTATCCAAACACCCTGCAATACAGTTGATAAAAAGTCACCTACTTTATTTGTGGATTTCCTATACATACTATTGTAGTTTGTAATATGTAAAACTAAAACAAATAATAGCAGCATTCGGAACTCAGAAAATCACAAAGAAAGGGAGCTTTGATGAAAATGCTTGTTATAATCACCACGTAAATACTAGGAAATGTTTTAAAAAAAATAATAGAGGCTATATATATCAACTCAAAGTAGCCTATTTCAAAGCGATATAATCAATTTTCCTTATAAATATTAACTAATACTACTATATATACATATGTCATTAATGAAATTTAACTAATGAATTTATATATTAAATCATGACATGATATGTTTCTCTCAGACATTGCATGCCTACTAAAGTTTTCTCGATTATGGTTGAAGTGAGAAATGCATCTAATGTGAGAAATGAAAATGAATCTCGATTGTTGGATTTGACGACGTTGCACTAAAACAACTTCATATTGCACTAAAGAGATGCAACACATGATTTTAAAAAGTATTTACGAAATTGACGCCGCACATGGTTGCATCTAGAGAGATGCAACACATGAAACACTTCTATTGCAACATATCAAATCCAATAGTTGAAATTCATTCTCATTTCTCACGTAAAGACTTCTTACCGGAACCGCACCCTATATATATGTATGTTATATGTATGTATTGATTTTGGATGTTTAGCCTTCAATAGAAATGTAGAATGAGTTTGAACAAAAACCTAAATTTCATTGGTAGAGTTTAAAGCATTTTTTATTGTTATACTCGTATCACATGTATATACCGGAGTGCGTATTTTTGTATGGATAGATTCCAAGAGTGGGCTAATATTTCTTTTATCTCTTGTACTAGGTATATATTATCTCTTATATAATTATCTCTGATACTAGGTATACACCATTTTTTTTATAATTCTTATATGAGATTTATTATATTTTCTTTCTAGTTTATTCCCCTATCGCAATTCTTTTATTATGGGAACCTGCACACAATGTTGGATAAAACTTTGGACTAAACGTTATACAAATTAAACTAGTCAGCTCAGTTAAAAAAGATTAAAATGAGAATTGAACTTGTGACCTCTTAGGCACACTTCTGATTATATTCCAAACCAACCCAATGGGAATGGAAAGTAGACACTCACCTTGACCTGCATATTCAGGACATACCCAAGCACGACACCGACCGGAATCCCGACCAGGTAATAGCATCCGAGGTTAACGTACGCCACCGTACTCTGCCATCCAGCCCCTATAGAAACTCCTGTATGTATGTTTCACAACCCCATAATTTATGTTCCATATAATCACCATCTGATTATCATATGACATGTTTTTATTCCTAATATACTACCCCCGTCCCGCTATGATTGTTTCATTTTACCTTATCGGTTCGTCCCACTAAGATTGTCTCATACTAAATTTGGTAAAGTTTGTGTGTCTCTAAATCATTCTTACTTTATTCTTACTTTATCGATTCAATATCAACCACATAAACCACTTTTTATTAATTTGTGTGTCACTCCCTCTTGTCCTATTTTTAATGGGAGGGAGGGAGTAACATTTATGTAATAAGGATGTTTTTACTTGGACTGTTTTCAGTCCAAAACCAGACTTGACTTCCGTAGTTATAAAATACACAGAGACCAGACGTTTACCAGACCAGAGCAGTCCAGTTCATACCAGATCAGACTTAAACAGACCAAAATCAGACCAGACTTAAACAGACCAGATCAAATCAGACTAGCAAATTACGGTCCAAGTAAAAACATAAACATGAACCATTGGTTTACCAGAAAGGACTGGCTGAACACTATTGAGAAGGATGGAAAATGCTAAGAGAGGTGATAATTGATCAACGGCCGCGACCACCTCCTGACTACTGGTGAACAAGTAAGCTAGCTTTCCTCGAAGAAAGAGCAAAAGCAGGAATATCACAAGTCCTATGGCAAAGGACGTTAGCACCACCACATTGATTGATAACTTGGCTGCCTTTGCACTCCCTCTTCCCAACTCGTTTGCAACTCGCACACTATAAGTAAACCAAGAAAATCAATGTTTTAAGGCTAGCCTTTGGTTATTTCCTACAAAAGGACTTTTGATTATCATCAATAGGTATTTTTCAATTCAACAACAGTACCTTTATTTTAATTTTGTGTGTGCTCAATGAGTTCTAATAGAATGTTCCCATTTTTAGGATTTAACTATTTTGTCGAAATTTAGTACCTTGTGAAGGCATTATAATTGAATAGAAATTGTAAATAAGTTAAAGCGTTTGCAAAAAAAACTGTTGTGTCAAACCACAGTACACATTTTAAAGAATTACATTTCAGTCATTTGCATATTTTGACATAGATAGTTTTTAGTACTTAACTTTGATTTTTTCCTTTTTAGTCATATAACTATTCTGTCAAGTAAAATTTATGTCCTCTAACTATTGTGACATTGAAATTTTAAATGTCCCAATTATTTTTTATATTGACATTGGTTGCAAATTGCAAGGATACAAGTGTTGTCATCACAATAGCTAAAGAGCTAAAAGAAGAAAATGCAATGATAGGGAAAAACAAGTGTCTCTACCACAATACCCAAATCAAAGCATTCAAGATGAAAAAATCTAAAGGCGGATATAAAAAATATCATTACCACAATAGTCAAAGAACTAAGGGTGAAAAAACTTGACTTAAATATCATATCAAGACTTCTTTTTCATCTTCAATAAGTCCACTTGATAGATCAAATAACCCAAAATTTTATATGCGGGTTATTATTTACTCCATCCGTCCCTTAAATCTTTGTCAACTTTCTTTTTTGATGTCCCACTAACTTTGGCTAGTAAAGAATTTGTGGTTCCACTTAATTCTCTCTCCTCTGCACAAACCTCAACCACACAGTTTTTACTTTATTAATCCTCGTGCCGGTCAAACTTGGCAAAGTTTTAGGGGACGAAGATATTATAATTTATCGATATAAAACATATCAATAAAATCGAAAGAACTAAAAGCAAGAGTCGAGTCGTCTCAATTGATAAATTACGAGAATATAATCTTGAATGTTTGACGCGGTCGAGAGATGAGCGCCAAACCCTAGTTGCGCGTCCTTCGTCGACGGCCATCAGGATCGACAAAGCAGATCAGATTCCTAAAGCAAGTGTAAATCGACAAAGGGGATGGTCGTTTAATCCGTCTATTTCCATGTTATGTTTTTCCATTTGCTCTTTTGTGCTTGTTTTATTTGTGTTCTTTTTCTCCAGGCGTCTGTCCCGCGGCTGATTTTTCCGGCTCAATTTGGCCGAGACTGATTGTGAGGTGCTTCTGCCCAGAATGAAAGGCTGGAGCTCTCCTTATTGTCGTGGTTTACAGAGCTTAAGTTTTATTTGGTTTTTATTTTTGGTTGAGTCTTTGATCTGAGTTTGTGAAATTTGGACTGTGTTGTGATGGATATGATTTCGAGAAATGTTAGTATGTTTCAATTGCTGAGGAAGAGAACAGGGGTTTGGTGTTAGCGGCTGACTCGACGGAGAACGCAAATGAGACTATAGAGGAATTCAATCTAGTGGCCGTGACTAGAGTGATTTCTGACAAACCTGTTCGTGGTGTTTCTTTTTGTCAAACAATGGCTATGGTTTTGCGTCCAGTCAAGGGAGTTTTTATTGATGAAATTGAGGACTCTAAATTTCTTCTACAGTTCTACCAAGAAGGAGACCTGAATAGAGTTGTTGATGAAGGACCATGATCCTTTTAGCAAAATCTTGTGGTTATTAAACGTTTGGGGCGTGTTGATAAACCTTTGGAGGTCCCATTGGATCATGCTGACTTTTGGGTTCAAGTTCATGACTTACCCTTAAGCTATATGACGGCACGGGCAACTTGGGGAATTGCTAATAGCATCGGAACACTTGTGCAAGTGGACGAGAGCTCGCTGGGTGGAAAGCAAAGGTTGATTATGCATATTAGAGCTACTTTGAATATTACAATGGATTTGACTAGACGTTTGCAGTTCAGACTGGAGGGAGACAACTGGGTCTGGGCAAACTTTCGGTATGAGAGACTACCGAATTTATGCTTTCTATGCGGGGTTCTTGGTCATGCCAACCGTTTCTGTCCAGCTAATCTGCATAGTGGTATTGGGATCGGGGAGAAGCCTTACAGGCCATGGCTATGGGCAGATACGAGGCGGGGAGGATCGCATCCGGGTAACAGGTGGTTATCCCTAGCACTAACAAGTCAGGTGACAGGCGGGAAAGAAAGGCAGAGTCTGATAAAGTGATGAAGGGACAAGAAAGTTATTTGGTGGAAGGACTGGTGTCAAAGGGGAAGGAGAATGCTACAACCCAGGATGCACCAAGAAAGCGGAGGACCACTGAGAAGGATAGTGAAGTAGGGGTACAAGCTAACATGGAAGTGGATACAGAAATGCCAAAAAACTTGGAAGTGGCGGTGTTGCTCGGACAACACCGCCAATAAAAGGTGATTGCAAGGACAAGAATGAAATACCTTTAGCGGAGGCTGGTCAAACCGCTTTTCCCTTGAAAGTGGTTGGAAAAACTGGATTATGTTATTCTTTTAGCTATTTTCCTTTCAGAACTCCGTTTTGTCTTTTCATTTCCCTCGTAGTAGCAGGTGCAACATTGATGTGTATGGAGTCTACCAATTAGCGGAGTTAGCGAGATGGTCCGCTAGTAAGCGTGATTCCAACTCTAAGTCTCACCCCAGTGTAGCCTTTATTATGGCGAATTTGTATCTGGTCCTTGGTTTTAATATTAATTAAGTTATCTTTTGCCAAAAAAACCAATAAAATCGAAAGAGTTTTAATCGAGTTTTAAAGTTTTATTTAAAACTTTTATGGTAGTTTTTATTCATTTAATTAACGGTGTTGATTTTGGACGCGATTTTCACTATGGGTCATCCGGAAACAGTCTCTCTGTTCTTTAGTACAGGGGTAAGACTGCGTACATCTGACCCTCCTTACCCCAACATAAGTGGGAGCCTTTGTGGCACTGGGGTAAATGAAAATGAAAATGAAAAATTAACAGTGTTGATTTTGATTAAAAGTATGAGTGTCTTTATGGTCAAAGAGAACTTCAAGCTTGAGTGGTGTTCAACGATTGAGTAGATTTTTTTGTGTGAAGATTGTCTCTATGTTGATTGTTGTGAATACTGTTTCCATTGTATACATAAATTCTTTATTTGAATTAATATAAATTTGAAAAGGATAAAAAAATTTATATTATCATCAAGAAATATGATATGATATAATGCATTCAATACCATGCTGCAGCCATGAAACCAAGAGATATCATCATTTCCCAGCCACTGATGTTGAGGCTGCAAAGGACAACATGAAGCAGTGAAGAACTGGAGCTCATGCGCATTAAATTAAAATCCTAAATAGAGTAATAAGAAATAGGTCAAAAGGCTAACCATATAGATAAAGCATCAATTTGAATTTTAGCATCTTTCAAGTTTCCTGTAAGAAGAATCAATATGGAATTGTACCAGAGCTCAAGACTGCCAAAAAATATAGAGAAAACGGTCAAATAAGGCCTTCTACTATTACGGAATCGTCACATAAGGTCATGTACTCAATAAAGTTTCATATAAATACGTCTACTTATAAAAAGCAACCGGATGAGTTGAAACGATCCGATGAGTCGATGACAACCTCCTAATCCCGATTTTAGCTTATGAGTCGTTATTTTTGTCTTGTATTTAAGCCAATCGTGACCAAATATTTCACGTCGGCCTTATAATCTATTTCAAAAAGATAGTCAGACGTACGCTAAAATCGGAATTACGAGGTTGTGAATGGGTCATTTTGACTCATCCGATTGCTTTTTATAAGTAGACGTATTTATATGACACTTTATTGAGTACATGACCTTATGTGACGATTCTGTAATAGTGAAAGGCCTTATTTGACCCTTTTCCCAAAAATAAAATATTAAGTACAAAACCCATCTAGATTTAGTATGAAAGGTTTCACCGTGGGCAAAAGACTAGTAACTAGCATCTAGTGAGGGCTTGGACTTTGTTAGCTTACACTAACGAGTTAATAAGATTTGGAGTTTTATTCAACATAATAACCTTATAAGAGAAGTGGTCCGATGATTGTATGTGATAATGTGAGTACTCATAGAAACTTGATGGGAAGTCTAGTTCCTAAATGGGATTCCTATTCTACTTAATTATATTATAATCTGCAGATGTCAAACACTACTAAAAGGTTAAATCTAATCAATGAGCTATGCTAACCTTAAGACACTATAACTTATGTGCCTTTATAGAAAGCCTACATCAAATCAATCTCATTCATTATACAATATATATGGGCTTACCAGACCATGGCACCAGCTGAAAAGGAAAGCTTGATGACAGGGATGAGATCACTGAAGGCGAGGAACGAAAAACCAGCCCAAGTTTCTTTGCATCCTCCACATATAACATATATAAGCTGACCCCAATTAGGAATCCAGAATGCCAATATAGTAGAAATCATGGCACCAGAAAGTCCATACTTGAGCTTCACTGTCAAAAGCCAGGACAGTGATATGTGAATGGCAAGTGTGGCGGCTGCCAAATATGAAATGATAATGTTCTTGCTCTGTGCTTGAAGGTACATTTGACAGGTGAATGATACAATGTATGCATATGCCACAGGTACCAACCAGTGGGAAATGATTCCCGACACTCGCGCGATGTCTTCGTCCTGTCCTAGTGCTCTGAATATGGGAGTAATGAAGAAAAATAGGGGTAATAGTAAAGTTGTGGTTGTGAACAAGACGATCCATGACCTTTGGAGATATATTCCCATCATGTGGTACTGTTTTGCACCAAATGCTTGTCCTAATAGTGTTTCCAATCCACTTGCCATCCCCAACTGCACATACAACTTAAACTGCTCATTTGAATTCTCATATTGTAAAAGCTCTCAGGCTCAGTTTAGGTGCAGGGTTTGGTGTGATTACTCTATGAGTAGAAAGCATCTAAAAGAGAATACATAGTGATTAAAATGTTATATGATCCAAAAAAACGGTTAGAACTGTTGCCCAAAATTGTTATTTGATCCTTTCTTATCTCATATACTGTCACTGTGGGACAATCTCTTAAAACTTTTTCATAGGGAATTCACATTATGTCTACAAGTGGGTTTGATCATAATGCCATATTAAGACTTGTAATTACAACCTCTGCCCCACTATGTCCCACTAAGTTTGGGACATGAGGAAGTAATATGATCAATAAAAGTGAAGTATGTAGTGGAAATTAAATTGATAAATTATACTACGTAATAAAGTACGAAATAATTAGAACCACATCAATACTATCAAATGTATTATGAGACAATTTAGTGGGATAGACAAAAACAAAGAGGAAACAAAGAAATTGGAACATCGATTAAATGACTAGGTCAATAGCTTGCATCTGAGTTTGTTACTTCATATTTAGCCTTATATGTCACAAAATTTTTGACGTGATTAAATGACTAAATGTGATGAAGAATATGATAGTGTTTGTCACTTTTAGTCTCTCGGCTATTGTGTGAATGACACCTTTAATAAGCGAACTTCAACTTTTAACTTTAGTCCTATACATTTTTTATTTTATTTTTTTAATTTCATTTTTAGTCCTTCAAATAGTATAAAAGTGACACTTTCAATTTTAGGTATGAATGTATGATTCTATCATAATATGTGGAGAACCTAAAGTGGCATTACATTATAACAATAGTTGAAGACTTGAAGGATAAAAACGTCACTTATAATAGTGCAATAACTCAATTGTGCCCAATAAGTGAAAAACAACTTCTTATGTTTCTATTGATAACTAAAATATGTCTGGTTACCAAATGGGCCTTAGCTCTCAAAAGCCAAAACCCCTTCAAAACCCTCCATGCAAACAGGGCACTAATAAAGGATGGTCTAACAAAACATACCAGTATTCCATTGCAAAACCTCAACAGAACTGTTTGTACCAAAGCATAGGCTGCAAGATCAACAGGGTCAATGTGGCCAACAAATGCCTGGCTGATGACAGTAATCCCAAATGTAGTGAATCTTGTAAATATGGCTGGGAAAGCCACAACAGACAATTTTTTCATCTCTGACCATATCTTCTCCCCTAACTTAACTTCCTCTTCACCACACTCTTTTGAATGTCTTCTCTTTTCCAATAGCTTTTCATTGATATCACCATGCTCAGACTCCATTCCAGCAAGCAAAAGAGGTATATGTGCCTTATCTGTCAACCAAACATGAGTGATAAAACCAGACCAAGAGTGATTCTTGATTATGTATTGTAATAAGGGCTATTTAGAACATTATATACGGAGTACAAGGAAAGTTTGATTTGATTCTTTATTTGAGTGAATTAAAGTGAATCAAATGGCTCCATTCACTGTATGACAAAGTGACAACTAACAATTCTCAACATGTGTCGAATGGACCCAAGAATTAACATATACATGGCGTGGGGAAAAGAACTTGCCCAAATGGGAATAAGAGCAGATAAAAAATAGACTTTTTTGTATTTTATTACTTAAATAGAAATTATTTTGTTTTATTCATTTTCATATTATTTCATTTTCATTTACCCCAGTGCCGCAAAGCTCCCACCTACGGTGGGGTAAGGGGGATTGTATGTACACAGTCTTACCCCTGTACTAAAGCACATAGAGACTTTTCCGGATGACCCATAGTGAAAATCCCGTCAAAAATTGCATGGACTGACTGCTGCTTCATAACAAAGAAGCGCAGACAATTTAGTGAGCCATTTTGCTTTCCATCATAATCTCAAGCCAAAAAATAATGAATCTTTGGCTCCATTGCAAATGATGGAAAAAAATTATTTTGTTTTATTAAAAGAATAAAATAACAGAAAATTCAAAATATTATCGAATGAGTCCTGTAGTAGAAAAAAACAATAACACTTCTACCTAAGAAATTGTGATATGATATGTTTTGCTCCTAATTAATTAATTTTCTCTTTGTTGGACTTTTATGAACTACATAGTATGTCTTCTGAGTTCTGATATGTTGTTTATTCTATCGCAACAATTTTTCCTTTATTTTTACATTTTAAAAAGCTTTTAACAAGTTTAAATGTTTTTACATATTTTGTTTAACTTTTTCCATGTTCGAAAGATTTAAACTACAGAGTAGTTTTTTTTGAAAGAAGATTTAAACTAGTTTAAAATAAATAAAATTTTAATTGAACGAATAATCTGTAAATTATTGTAATTACATCTTTATTTATTGATATAAAGTTTTAACATATTACAAATTATGTGACCAAATTTGTTTCCAAGAAAGTGGAATTATCAATGACAAAATGTTTTTTGTAACACTTCTGATATACGATAGTATTACTACGCATATATAGTACGGAGTATGTGTTCTTCAGTGCAGGTGATGCCAAATTTATTGCCAAATAAATTAAATTAACATAAAAAAAGTTAATGTAAAGTAAGAAGCTTAATCATAGCCAAACATGCTACACATGACTCTCAAGCCACAATTAATAATAGCCTCTGATTTTTTAATTAACAGAACAAGATAATCCCACTCTTATCGATCTTGAGGACGACCATAATTTTCAACGATTAATCTCCCACCCCAAAAACCCCCACCTTGACCTGCACGGGCGTTGCGGGTTTCGAACCTTGGTCACTTGATCCAATTTTCTCACCACTTGACCAACTACCCGTGCGAGTCCCATAATTTTCAACATGCATACACTTGCAGATGCGCTAACCGGTGGACGTAGCTCAAGTGGTAGCAAAGGAGTGGCATAAGGGTTATGTCCCGGGTTCGAATCCCGCAACTGCGATAAGGGGTTACTATGCTAAAAATTGATAGGCCCTCTGCAAGTACTGGAGACAGAGGCTCACTCTCTATCTATCAAATTGGGATTATAGTTCAATTTACATCTTCTCAACGTACCGTCCGATCGAAGTTGGGAGCCTTCCGGTGTCGTCCTTTCTTGCACATGCGCTAATGATACACTGCAGAATTTGTTGAATAATTGAGTTGGCACTTTTCAATTTTCGTCAGAGCCCCCTCCCCACCCACTCACTACTTCTTTTTTTCTCAATTGCACTCAAGAAAAGTAGAGAGAATCATAGCCCCCTCCCCCATCCACTCACTTCTGTTTAGTAAGTAAGACTGAAATTTATATACAGAGTATTTTATTTATCAAAGAGAATGGGCTGAATTGGTTGATTGTGTTGAATTCTGGAACAATTAAAATATGAAAAATAACTAAAATGATCTTCTACAATAACTTCAACCTTAAATAAAATAATTTCAACCTTATTTATTTTGATTACTTCTTCCATCTCTAAATAAACATCACACTTTCATTTTCGATTCATCCCTTAATTATGCCCTTTTTTTATTTAATAAACAAAACAGTGTAAAACAATGTAAAATAGTGTCAACCAGTATCCACGGAATGTCAAACAATGTCACTTTCCTAAATTGTGTGTAAAACAAAGTGACACTTATAATAGGGACGGAGGGAGTATTACACATATCAATGCGCGAAATCAAAAAGAGTTAAAGACTCTAATAGGAGCTAAACATAGGCTTCGTATGCAAATAGGAGCTCTAACTTTTTAAACCCTAAATAGGACCTAATTTCATCCGGACGGACAAAAATACCCCCAGCTTCTTTACTACCGATCTAGCTTCTTCGCAGACCAGCTCACCAGCTGACTTTCCCTTCCGATCCGTACAATCGCGATTGAAGAATCTCCGGACTCAGCTCACAACGACGAATATCGAATCAATCTTCCTCGCAAAACAATCTTCCTCGCAAAATAATTGCAGAATAATTCGTTGATTGAAGAACGAAACTCAGATCGATTCTTTTCCAATCGCGCTTTCCGTTCACGTCGAAACTCATATTTCGTTGACTATGGTAAGAGACTCATCCTTCGACATCAATATGATAGCAGAGCTTTTCATCCTTCGACATCCTTCGATCGATTTCTGACTGGATTCCTACAAATTTAGTTTCTTTGAAGATATCTTCTCTGCAAAATACAGCACACCTATGATGTATGATTTCCGACAGAATTGCCGAAAAATCCTGTTGTTTTTTATTGTGTATCTTTATCATCAGGTTTATTTGTAGAATTATATTTATTGTTCAATGTCATCATACTGCAAAAATTCACACATTTACATAATAGATGCATATGTATTACGATTTGTGTTTACAATTCTGTTTTATAAAACATTGACATTGTTTTGTAAGCGTACAATGTCAGAAGCATGAAAAATACTCCGAATGTCAATGAATGTACGAATGTCATTCTATAATTTTTTTTACAATGGCAATACCAATGTCATGTAAAAGCAATGTCTTAATTATTACGAGAGCAGCAAAATTGGTAAAAATAATACAATGTCATCCAAATGTTACAAATAATAAAAATGTTAGCCTTTGATAACTGAAATAAAAGATATTTATCAATTATACTAAATATTGTCATTAACATATGAAGTCCCTTGAAATAGCACAACGTAAAAGAAAATTGGATTTTGCTATATAATAAATTTTAGAAATTCACAACTGAAATTCTGTAATTAAAAGTAACAATGTCATTGACATTGGTTAAATATTAAATGAAAAAGAATGTCTATATTTAATAAAAATTTGAAATGTCATTTGCAATGTCATACCGACATTTAAATGTCATTGACAATGCCATTCAATGTCTGATAATGTCATAAAATCTGCCAAACAAATAAATAACAAATAAATTTTTGACAATGGCAATACCAATGTCATTTAAAAGCAATGTCTTAATTAATATGAGAGCAGCAAAATTGGTAAAAATAATACAATGTCATCCAAATGTTACAAATAATCAAAATGTTAGCCTTTGATAAATGAAATAAAAGATATTTATCAATTATACTAAATATAGACATTGTCATTAACATATAAAGTCCCTTGAAATAGAACAACATAAAAGAAAATTGGATTTTGCTATATAATAAATTTAAAAAAATCACAACTAAAATTCTGCAATGTCATTTGCAATGCCATACCAACTTTTTAAATGTCATTGACAATGTCATTCAATGTCTGATAATGTCATTAAAGTTGTCCAACAAATAAATAACATATAAATTTTGAAAAAATTTAAACGACACATGGAGCGGTTTTGTGGGGCGGTGGCAACTACCTGCTCTAAAAAAAACCGCGACCATCATTAAATTTACACAAAAGCAAAAGGTGGAGAGACGATGCTCGTAACTTCAGAGAAGCGAAAGCGCAGTTTTGAAACTCGAAAAAGTGGAGAGCCGAGGTCGAAAGTCTAGGTTCGAAGAAAGTAGCGAGCAAGTTGAAGACGACATTGCAATGGCAAGTAGTGAGGAAGTTGCAGAAGATAACCAAACAATGGTATGCTATTTGCTATATTTTTCTCTTATTTTGATTAAAGTTATCTCAAATAAATTGAAATATATGTTCGTATTGTAGTTTTTTCAGTAACATTGTTATCATTGTTTACATTTATTTATCTCAAACGAGAATATTATTTTTGTGAACATGCATAAATAAATTGTATGTCATTGTAGTTTTTTCAGTAACATTGTATGTTATTTGCTATATAATTGTTTACAACTTTAAATTTACTGTTATTGTTTACTTTTATTGTTATATTGCAATCTCGAAGTGTTATGAATGTTGTTTTGATTAAATTAGTTCAACTTCTCGTTGCATATCTAAATAAATGTTTCTACTATAAGTATTGTAAATAGTATGCTTGTGTTCATATTAAAATTAACTCAAAATGTAATTTCTTAGTTTTATAAACATAAGAATGTAACAAAAATGTTATTGTTGATCATTAAATTAGGTTTATTTGTACTTATTTCGTGTGTAATGAAATGTTACAGGCTATTACAAGGCTATGCCGTGATGAAAGGATAAGAAGTTCTGCAGATAATAGATTAAATGTTTACTGCAACGTTGATTCTGTTGTTGGACTGCTGAAGATGAAACTGAATGAAGAAGAACTCAATAACTTCAGAACAACATCATTTGGAAGCATTCTGGAAATTGCAGATATGAAATGGATAAGTGGCCAACTCCTGATATATTTAGTTGGTAGCAATGTCACTGAAATTAATGGCAATGTTGTTAAAGACATGCTTGTATTTCATATACAAAACAAACTTGTCACCTTCAGCAAAGAGGAGTTCTGTCTGCTCACAGGTTTAAGATTTACCGGTGACAAAGATGTTGAAAAATCTGAAGAAGGTGATATTTGGAGAAGATACTTCCAACAGAACAAGAAGAGGTCACTGTACCGAGGTGATGTCGCAAAGGCATTCAAAAATTTTAATAGGAATGACAGTAATGCAAAGCCAAGTGATGGCGTGAAACTGGCACTATTGTATGTCCTATCAAATCTGCTCCTGGGAAATCAGACCTCCATTACAATGCCAATGGCCTATGCTGACTTGGTGAATGATCTGGATAAATTTAATTCCTATGCATGGGGTGAGGTTGTTTGGAAGGACCTTGTTGACAATGTTGGGAAATGTGCCAAAAACATGTCCAAATCTGACAAAGGAAGATATAATTTTCCTGGATATATGTTTGCCATACAAATTTGGGCATTTGAAACATTCCCAGCATTATCAAGAGCGAAGATGTGCAAAGTTATTACTACCAAAAAGGACGCGGTTCCAAGGATCACAAGGTGGTGCTTGTTGAAAAAGCCTTCTGCTAAAGTTGTTTCTGAGGATATTTTTGACAACAAAAAGGTAACTACATACTAATTACAGTAAAATAGTTCATTTTTATTATTTCTTTACCAATGTCATTGACAATGTTATTACATTGCCATTGACAGTGTTATCACATTGCCATTGACAGTGTTATCACATTGCCATTGACAATGGTATTACATTGCCATTGACAATGTTATCACATTGCCAGTCACATTGACAATGTTATTACATTGTCATTGACAATGTTATCACATTGCCAGTCACATTGTTATCACATTGCCAGTGACATTGTTATCACATTGCCAGTGACAATGTTATCACATTGCCATTGACAATGTTATTACATTGCCATTGTCTTTGAAAATGGTATATCGTTCCAATAACACAACAATGGCAATGACTTATCATTGCCAATGACATTGACATTTGAACGACATTGAAATTGGAAATGAAATTGATAACATTGTTAATTTAATACAATGCATTTAAATCTATAATTTTAAAAGATATATTGATTTGTTAAACTTATGATATTACAACCATTGCAGTTTGAGTTCCAGCCTATTGTTCCAACAACAATAGAGCTTGAAGATGCTAATATAGCAAATATGTGGACAACCAGAAATGAGAAAAGCATAGTGGATGTGAATGCAGCTGTGGAGAAGGTGATCTATGAGAGTGACAATGAAGGCAAGATGCAGTCTCGAATAGATAAAAGAAGATCACAGAGAATACCGAAAAAAACTGCTTTGAAAAGAAAAGCATCAAGCAAGAATGGTAAAGAGGAATCGGAAATTGAATTCAAAAAAGCCAAGAAAAGTACTACTTTGAGAAGGAAAGCAACAAAAGGCAAAAAAGGTAAAGAGCAGGCAGAAACTGAGAGTCAAAGCAACTCTGAACAAGATCAGTTTCAAGTAATATGTTTGAAAGAGCTGAAGGGTATCAAAGATACCCTAAAGAAACATGATAAAATGTTTGAGCAGATATTGGCATTGCTTCTGAAGAAAGGGTATGAAATAAAAGATTCTGGCAAGACAGTGCAGGGGAAGAAGATTGTACAAGAAGTTGAGCTTGACTGTAATACAAGTTCTGATGATGACACGACTGAGGAAGAATATGAAGAGAATGATTCTAGTGAACAAGAAGATGTAGAGGTGTCTGATAATTCTGGAGAAGAAAAAGATGCTGAGAAGTCTGGGGAGGGTGAAAAAGATTATAATAAGCAAGATGTTGTGGAGTCTGGAGAAGAAGAAGATGATGAGGAATCTGGGGAGGGTGAAAAAAATGATGATAAGCCAGGTGCTGAGGAGTCTGGGGAAGAAAAAGATGCTGAGGAGTCTGGGGAGGGTGAAAAAAATGATAATAAGCCAGATGCTGAGGAGTCTGATGAATCTGGGGAGGATAAAATCTCTAAAAACGAAGTTTCTGTAAAGGAAATGGAAGAAGAAAAGGTTGAAGAAGTGTTTGAAAAAGAAAATGTTAAAGAAGTGCAGAATGTGGGGGGTTCTGATATGCCAAGTTTTGATTTGCACTTCACTCCAACACCTCCTGAAAAGACAATGTCTAACAATGAAAAATCTCCATTGTTGGGAGGCACTCAATTTTCACCTGAAGATCTACAGCAGGTCGATAATATTGCGAATGATATTATAAAAAACAAGGTAATGACAATGATAATTGAAAACATTTCTATAGGTCTATTTGTGACATTCTGATTTGTTACTGCAAGATAAAGATGGTCAGAGTTCTGGAGAAAAGGAATTCAGAAGTAACAATGAAAAAGCAATAGTGGTAAATAGTAAATTAAATAACAACATAAATTTTTATTGGTGATAATATAAGATTTCCTAAAAATGTCATGAGAATGTTATAGATATATCATTGACAATGGCATTTAAAATGTCATAACATTGGCAATCTATATAGTACAATGCCATTGGCAATGCCATTTCGAATGTCATTGTATGAAGTACAATGTGATTACAATGACTCTGAGAAATGACATTGGTAATAGTATAACATTGATAATGGCATTTCTAATGGCATCTCATTGGCAATTACATAGTTTCTATCAATACCATTGCGGATGACATTGGGAGTGGAATATAATTTGAATTTCGCAATGCAGGTTTATGCAGAAAGAATACCTATTCAAGAGACATTGGCAAAGTTTAAAAGGCCAAAAAGGACTGCCACTCAACCTGACAAATACACTCCTACAGAACTTGTGCAACAAAGAAAGAAAGCTAAGGTGGAAAGGCTAGAGAAGAAAATGCTGAAACTAAGAATGAATGAAAGAAAGTCATTGTACGGGCCATTTGCACTTGACCCTTTTGAGATGTCACCTGTTAATGCAATTGAGAAAACAAGGACTTATTTGAATATTGGACTGCTGAAAAATAGGAGGAAATTTGAGGATGCTAGGAAGTACAAAAAGAATTTTGAGGTTCTGGACAAAATGCCTTTTATAGTTGATGACTTTGAGATAAGGTCAAAAACATGGCTCTACGAACTGTTTTTCAATCAGGAATGGCTGACTTATTCTGTAAGTAGTGGTTTAATATAATAAATACTCAAATTGTTTGCTATGTAAATTTATAATTTTATTAAATATTTATGAAACTCTTTATGGCAGTGTGCATGTACTATTTGAATTTCAAAAGAGCACAGTACAAATTACCACAGAAATATGCTTCTGTGGGTCCATATTTCATTCAAATTCTGAAGACAGCACATAACGAAATAAAGAATAACAATAAGACATTGAAAGATGCATCTGACCATGATACTATAGTGTCAGAAATTTTGGGAATGACATGCGAATATGGAATGCCATGGAGTGAATCAGATTTTGTGTACATGCATGTGTGTAATGGTAGCCATTGGGTGTTGCTGGTTATAGAAATGAACACCAAAATAATAAGGGTTTACAATTCAAAAGCAAATCGGGGTCAATCACTTAGAGACATTGTTGAATATCTTCCTTGCTTGAAAGAGATGTTACATCTTATCCTTGACAATTACGGAGTGTATGACATGATGGTAAGTTCACAGTTCAAGCAGTGGAAAATTGTCCACAACAGGATGATTGGTAAGTTCAATATATTGAAATATATATATTTTTTGTCTAATAAAATTATTAGATTTTAATGTTGTGTTTTTTCCTTTACTTCATGCAGTGGAAACTGTGGAATGTTTGTTTTGAAATTTGCTGAATTTCTGATGATGGGAAGGGATATTCAGGAAATCAAATCTGAAGACATGCCCCTATTTAGAGAAAAAATGATGACAGAGCTGATACTGTATAACGAAAGAAGGATGAAGGAAGCATTGGGTTGAAGATGTGGCAGCGAAGTGAAGATGTGGGCAGGACTGAAGTGCTTTATATGATATGATATGATATTCTAATACAATCGTGTGTAATATACTTAGTGAAACAACTACTATCTGTTTGCATTGAACAAATTATTGCACTTCGTTATTTTGTTCAATTTATGCAAATGACATTCCAATGTTATTATAGTGCATTTTGAATGTCATTCCATTTTATTGAACAGTATCTCAGATGTCATGACAATATCTTTGACATTGAAATAGCATTGTTATTTCAATGACATTCACAATATCAATGCACTCATTGTCTTTACATTATCATTCTAATGACATTGCAAATGACATTGAAAAGTAGAAAATGACATTGCATTGAAAATGTAATTACAATGACAATGATCTTATTGCCAGAATGCGTCTTTACATTACCATTGTAATGACATTGAAAATGATATTGAAAAATTAGAAAATGACATTATCCAAATATCTTTGATATTGAAAAATTACATTGAAAATGTAATGACAATGAGAATGATTTTATAGCCAGAATGCCATTCTAGAAATGTCATATCATTGCAAAGGATAGAAAATGAAATGGTAAATGTGAACATCTCAATCTAAATTTCAGAAATTACATTTAAAAGTGTCATTCTAAATATAAGAATGTCAAATACACCAATAGTATTTAGCAGTAAAAATGTACTGCTAAAGTGCAAAAACACCAGTACAACTTTAACATCTCTGTTTTTTTTGTTTTTTTAAACATGGGGAATTGGATTTTTACAAGTCTTCTGATTATGCCCAACACCAGTACAACGTGAACATCTCTGTTTTTTTGATTTTTTAAATGTAGGAAACTCTCCAACAGATGGTATCCTCTTCTTCTTTGGCCTTCCAGCTGGCTTCTTTTCACACTTAGGTGGTTTGCAGATCATACTTTGAACATCAGCAGGGACATTCCATGCAGCAACATCACAAATTGGATGAACAATCCCATTGTAAGTAGCACACAACGCGTCACGTTTATAAAAAGGCGAAATGAAATCATAACATGACATGTTTGGTGCTTTGGAAATCGCTGCTACAGCATGTACACACACAAATTGATCCAATTGAAATGCACAGCATGTGCAAATTTTTTTCTTCAAATCAACAACAAAAGATCGACAGCGCCTATCAACAACCTGAAATTCGTAAGCACAAGAAGGCTTCACTTGCAACAGTAAATAACTAATCTAAGCAAAAAGGAAAAATAAAATGAAATTCAGTTATTATGAGAAAATGTCAAAGATTTAAACACAATGTCAACAACTTTAACAAGCAATGTCAAACATTAACAAACACAATGTCATACCTGCATACGAAATGCTTCACGTTGCAGAACTATAAGCTCATGTTCACGCTCTTTAGGCAGAATAGTTGTAGTTGAATGTGCTAAATCACGACACTCTGTAAACCATTTTTGCATTCGTTCACGAATAAAATCAATTAATTTTGCTACTGGATACTCTTGAGCACAAATGTTGACATTATTCACGGACTCAGCCCAGTTAGAAGTCATGATATTATATCTATACGGACCACTCATGCACCTTGCCCACTTATCACTTCCAATCTTATCTAAATATGCTCTTATACGAGGATCCTCCAAATCCAACAAAGTCATATATTCTTGATACTCCTTGTAAGTAGAAGCTCGTGCTGCAGCATTAAACTTCCACTCTTTACCATCAGCAGAACCCTTAAACTGTGACCGAATGTTACCAGCTAAATGGCGAACACAATAACCATGTCCAGCTGAAGGAAAGACATCTTTAACAGATTTAATAATTCCAGCATTCCTGTCAGAAACAATATATAAATTGTGTCTATAAGATAAAGCCAGTTTCAACTGTGAAAAGAACCATTTCCAGGAATCCTTGTTTTCTGAATCACATATCCCAAAAGCTAATGGAACAAGCTGACGGTTGGCATCCCTGGTACAGGCAGTGAGCAAAGTCCCTTTGAAATAGCCCTTCATAAAAGTACCATCAACTGTTAGGACAGGAATACAGTGATCCCAAGCTTCCCTCCATGCAGACAATGACATGAACATGTACTTGAAAACAGAATCAGCATGACGAACAAGAGTTATGACAGATTGTGGATTAGCTTTTCCAATGACATGGCACATGGAAGGTAATAATTGATATGACTCTTCATCAGATCCAAAGAGAAGCTTCATTGAATGTCGCTTAACTGCCAAAGCTTTACGGTAAGACAAAGAGATGCCAAATTCTCTACGGATGTCGTCAATTATGTCATTTGGCGGATAGGGTTTCTTAGAAGCATTGGAGTAACGATGAATAACCATGCCTGCAACAATGTCATAAGTGGCCTGCTTGTGATCACCCTCTCTGAAATCCACTGAACAAGAATGAGTTGAATCAAATCTGAAAAGGAAGAAGTGAAAATTAAAGTTAATGTAACTGATAATTACAACTATAAATAAATAAATAAAAATGTTAAAGTTGCAATTGAACCTGCGAATCTGAAAGAAGTCCACATCAGGAAGACGAACACCACGAACAGCCCACTCACATTTCTCATCAGGACAAAAAACATGTAAACTTTCTTTTCTTGAAGTTTTAGTCACATACTGAAAGTTGTTCTCAATGGCATACAACTTCAAGTGATATATAAGATCATGTTTATTCTTGTATATAGCATACAATGCTATAGTGGTAGGATCAGTGTGCGTATAAACTTTAACATCCTTATAAACACCAGTTGACAAAAAAGAATCAACTGAAGAAGAAGAGGGAACACTTGGTGAATCAAATGATATACTTTCTGAAGGTATGAGGATAGAAATATTATGAGAAGTATGACATTTTGAAGGAACTTGATGTGCAATGAACTCAACACAAGTTGGAAACTGGGAAAAAGATGGATGTAAGGTTTTCAAAGTTAGATAAAAAGTAAGGCTTGTATCATCATCTATAAAAACAGGGGGAGGACATGACTCAACAATGTAAGATATCCTAAAATCTTTATCGATCCTTCCCTTGAAAATGTTATGTATCAAATTATCACAGAAATCATTATAGGAAGAACCAAACAAAACAGAAACACCAAGCGTGTGTTTATTATGAAACACATTATCAGGATTCCAGTATCCATCAACTTTAACCATGACAAGAATATTATTATCCATGTCTGCGACACCTGGAAATACAACAAATGACATGAATTTAAAACAATGTCATGAATTATCTACAATGTCAAACCAAAGATAAATCCAGAAGAGTAAAGCGTATGTAATAAGAAATATGAAAAGAAGGAAAAAATAATGAACATTAAAGAAGATTAGAGACAGGAAAAACGATAATGATGATAAAGCATTCATAATACTTTCAGCTCTCCTAATCATAGAACTACAATAAAACTTCATACGACTATCAACAAGTAAACACAAATGAAAACAATTCTGATACACAATCATCATACAATTCAAGAATATAAAATTAATTACCTGAAATTTAAAATGAAGATGAAGGTGAAGATGATTGTCGCAAACAAAAAGCGAACGATAAAACTATGTGATCGTAGCAAATAACATGTGAGCGATAGTCTGTGAATATCACAGCAGTTGATCGATGGCGGCAGTTCATCGATCGCAGCAGTTCATCGAAGGTGAGATGAAGATCATCTAATTTGAAGGCTAAGCTGAACGAGAGAATGAAAATAACGGAAATCTGAGCTTCTGTATTAGTTTAAGAAACAGGGGCAATTTTGGAAACTTCCTAAAATTAGGTCCTATTTAGGAGTAAAAAAAGTCAAGCTCTTATTTAATTACATACCATAAGTTAAGCTCCTATTTAGCACCATTTCTCAATCAAAAATTACGGGTGTGATGAAAAAAAATGATCGATAAAAAAAGAGTTTCCAAATGAGCTCTAAATATAGGAATCTCTGTTTCGTACTTTGGTAGTATATGTTGGTTCCATTCATATATATGCTTTCAAAATATGCAAAAACTACCTTTTAGAAGATTCATCGATCCAGGCCAGCCATACACCTTTTACCAAACACACCCTTAGACTAAAAAGAAATAACCTGTTATTAAGTGCTCATTCAATATAACTATCAATTTCCACTTCTCGTTTTATGATTTTCAAAAACATACGTAGTATGATTTATGTTGTATAATAAGCAAAAAATAATTAAAGTGATTGTGTTAAACTAATAATGCAAACAAACACCCACGTATAATACGCTTGAATGGACGAACTCACCGTCCAGAAAGGCTTCCGCTACGAAAGTCAACTTATTTTCTCGTACATATCTACTCTTATTTTCTCTGGAGATTATGAATTCTTCACAAATCACACATCCATATGAAGAGAGAATATCTGCAAAAAAAGTTTGAGAAAGGCAGCCTTCGGCAAAGAAAGAGAGCCTATATTGAAGGTTAGACACAAAAGTTTGATGTGTTAAAGACTAGTGTCTCGTCCTTTTCATTCTATAAATGTTCATGTTAGTCTTTCATTCTATTTGTTGTCCAAAATAGGACGCTCGTAGGCTTTTAGGAAAGCTACGTACGACACTCAAGCAAGAATTAGGAAAGTACGAATATGGAAAGTTAGCCAGAAATAGCATATCTGTATTTGAAATTCGAATTGCCTTTTATAGGCGATTACAAATGGTAACTGCCGAACATAATAATGACTAAATTAATTACAACATTAATACGGAATTAAACACATAATTAAGTAGCGCATTGATTGTTGGTCGTTACTCTTCCTGGCTGGCAGGTCAGCCTGGCTGGCAGGCTGGACGCTTGAGCTCCCTCCTGCTGGACTGGACGGTGGGCTTCCCGCTAGGCTGGAGGAAGGCTTCTCACCGGGCTGGAGGCAGGCTCTCGGGTAGGCTGGAAGGCAGGCTCCCGGGTAGGCTGGAAGGCAGGCTCCCCGATGGGCTGGAGGCAGGCTCCCACCTGGGCTGGACCGCGGGCTCCCAGTTGGGCTGGATCGCAGGCTCCCAGCGGGCTGGTGGTCGGCTAGGCTGGAAGGCAGGCTCCCCACTGGGCTGGAAGGCAGGCTCCCCACTGGGCTGGACCGCAGGCTCCCAGTTGGGCTGGACCGCAGGCTCCCGGGTAGGCTGGAAGGAACGCTCCCGGGTAGGCTGGACCGTAGGCTCCCAGTTGGGCTGGACCGCAGGCTCCCAGCTGGGCTGGTGGTCGACAGGCTCCTGGCTAGGCTGGAAGGCAGGCTCCCGGGTAGGCTGGACCGCAGGCTCCCCGTTGGGCTGGTCGATAGGCTCTCTTGGGCTTCCGCTCCTTGATTGCCCTGGTTGGTCGGGCTGACTCGAGCTCTAGGTTGCTGGGCTTGGGCCCGCTGGTCCAAGTTCGGGGCCTGGGCTGATTAGGCTCTGGGCCTAGTCCCATAACCCCATCACGAGTCCCCCACTCCCTTAGTCGAGTAGTAGACTCGGCTAAGAGGGAGTAGTTTAAGTCAGTTGCCGATTTAAAAATATTAACATATCAGGGAGCCATAATTGAGGATTATGGGAATCCTAGAGTTTATGGAAATTCCCAAATTAAATCAGGCTCCCAAAAAAGGCTCCAAATAAATTCCTTCCTTTTCTTTTCTTTCCTTTTCTTTTCTTTTCCTTTCTTTTCTTTTCTTCCTTTCTTTTCTTTTCTTTCCTTTTCTTTTTCTTTCCTTTCTTTTCTTTTTCCTCTCTCTCCTGGAACCGCGTGCGTGCGTCTTCCTCGCGTAGCCCCTGCGCAGCACAGCAGTCGGAAATCCAGCTCCCCTGTGCAGCACAGCAGTCGGAAATCCAGCATGCCTCAACCCCCAAATCGCAGACCGATTCTTCAGCAGCAGGGCGTCGCCGGGTGAATCTCCAGGCTGACGGTCGTTCAGCGGCAAGGTGTCGCCGGGTTGAACCTTCGGCCGCAGCAGGGCTTCACCGGACGGACCTTCACGACGGCGGACGAACTCGAGCGGAAAATTGCCCAGTGCCCCAGGTCGGAGGTCACTCGCTCGGACGGCGCTGTTGCTTCCAGGATTTAGGCGGCGGCTCCAGGCGGTGATAACTCCGGACGGAGTCGGCGGCAGTGGATCCAAGACGGCGATGGATTCCTTTGCGGTGGGTCTAAACTTGGCTGCCCTCCATCGTGCGGCGGATGCGGCGGCGTCCCAGTCCGTCGGGCGTCCGCGTTGGCCGGCGGTTGCCCCGACGCGGTTCTTCTCTCTAGCGGCAAGGTGGCTGCTGCCATCTTCTTCCTTTTACCTTGAGAGAGACGGAAACATGTGTGAATAGATGCCCCACTAGTCCGCCTAAAAACCCTGCAGACATAGCAATCCCATGTTCGTTCACTGTTAAATGTTAATCTTGTGGACATAGGGAACTTTGGCGCCTTTCAACTTGGTCAACTGCTGGCAGCCTGTGGCGCAGGTCCCATGCCCTTGGTTGGCCGGTATTCTGTGAGTTGACGGTGATGCCCAGCCGCGGGTTGGACGGCTGACCTCCATCACTCAGCGACAGCTTCTAGGATGGAGGCCGCGAAGGGTGCAGCGGCCACGACGATGATGGTCTCCTTGTTCTGTATGAGTCCCAAACGTCTTGGCACCTCAACCTTTAGGACGTATTAGAATGAATCCCTACTGCTTGGTGCCCCTCCTACCAGGCGTTCGTGCTATAGGACTGGCGGGTGAGGGTCACGTTCTTATTCTTCACAGGTGGGCGATCCTCCAGATGGGTGCCCTTCTAACAACGACTTTTTTTTTTGCAGGTAGGAATACCAACAAGCGGGCATCAGCATGAGGCTCAGGCCGGGCGCATATGAGGGATAAGTGGCTTCATGTCCTCCCATGTTGAGCGGCAAGCATTCGGAGGTTGGCGCCCGCAACTCAGATTGGAGCAAAGGTGGCTAGCGGCAGGCCTGTCACTAATTGGAGTGTGGCGGATAGTAGTCACCTTCGACCACCCGTCGAAAGGGGGATGACCATAGCATGGGCCGCGCTGGAGTCCAGATTTGGAGAGAGATACTTGAGATTCTTAGCAACTCCCCTCACTAGACCATTGTACTTGATAAGGATGAGTTCACCAAGTCATGATCTTGTATTTTGTATTTCCTTTGTTTCCCACTTGAATACTTTGTGTTTCGAATGGATGTTTGATTTTTATTTCGTACGCCTCCTTTTCTATACTTTGCATTACGAATACTTAGCAATTTATTCGGGGATCTGGCTTCTCTAACCTCCCGGGGGGCGGTTAGGCTGGCGTGGCCGAGCCTATCCGTGCCCCTCCTAGTTGGGTAGAAGTGATCTGTTCGCTATTGATATGGAATCAACAAGTAAGCGACTTGTTTGGCCAGCAAGGTCGGACATTGAACCGACGAGGAAGACCCTTAGGTCGGTATCCTGAACGTTCATGACCCAGGGGTCAGTCCTACTGTCACTTTAACCCGTCCGGTTTGCCCGGACTTGGGGAATAATCTGGTTACTCCCGCATGGATAGCCAAACAACATGGGCGGACCCTGCATGATCCACCAGAACGAACCCGCACCGCCAACTCAGGGATGACGAGAGTGCGAGCTGCTTGGCCAGCGATGTTAGGCGGCGAGCACTCGAAAGGACCTGGAGGTCAGCATCCTGAGTACCCTCGACCCGGAGGCCGGCCCTACCGTCGCCTCGACTGTCGCGGCTAGCTCTTTACTTTAGAAAATTGCCCAGATTCTTGAAAATCGCTTGGCTATTTTCGGTTAAAGAGCCTAGCCGAGGTCGGCCAAACACCGAGGGGGGGCATAGTACCTTTTTTTTTTTTTTTTTTTTTGCCGCCGCCCTTTATTGCTAAGTGAGGTCGGACCTCTTTTGATGACAAAATATCGCTAGCAAAGTATATTGAATTCATTATGTGGGCGGACCACATGAAGAATTACAAATTGTAATCCCGTGCTCGGAGCACAGGAGTTTACAAAGAAAAGTGAAACTTCGATTTTCTACTGGTAAAACTTCATCAGGTGCTCGGCATTCCAGACGCGGTCTACCAACCGGCCTGTTGTTGTCTTCAACTTGTATGTCCCAGGGCCGATCACTGCGTCAACCACGTAAGGGCCTTCCCACTTGACGGAGAGCTTTCCTCCCTCTGTCGGCCTGCTGGCCTTCCTACGTCTTAGGACATAATCACCGACGTCGAAACTCCGGGGTCGGGCTCGGCTATCTTGGTACGCCTTGACTTGTCGTCGATAGTTTTCCACTTTGATGAAGGCACGGTCTCTTCTTTCCTCAATGAGGTGGAGCTCGGCTCGGAGCCTCTCCTCATTGCTGGCTGGTTCGAACTCTTCTACTCGCCGGCTGGGAACCACGGCCTCGAATGGTGCCCTCGCCTCAAAGCCATAACACAAGGCAAAGGGGGTCTCTCCTGTTGCCTTCCTTGGGGTTGTCCTGAAGGTCCAGAGTATATTGTTCAACTCCTCCACCCAGGCAGTCCCGAGGGCCTCCAACTTCTTTTGAAGTCCATCGACGATCGTCCGGTTGGTGTTCTCCACCTGTCCATTTGCCTGGGGGTAGCAGACCGCAACTCGGCTGGATTCTACTCCCCACTCTGCACAGAATTGCCGGAAGGCTTCGCAGTCAAACTGCCTTCCGTTGTCGGAGATTATTTGGAGGGGAACCCCAAACCGGCAGAAAATATTCTTCCATATGAACTTCCTACATTGGAGATGTGTGATGCTGGCAAGCGGCTCGGCCTCAACCCACTTCGTAAAGTAGTCCACTGCGACGATGACAAACTTCCGGTTTCCCGACCCGGTTGGTAAGGGACCGACCAGGTCGACACCCCATCTTGTGAATGGAAGGGCGGTGCTGATCGGTGTGTACATCGTTGCTGGTCGGCCGGGGCTCTTCTGGAACTTCTGGCATGTCTCGCATTTCCTTGCATAGTCAGCGCAATCCTTCATTATTGTTGGCCAAAAGTACCCCTGGAGGACGACCTTCCTAGCTAACGTGCCTGCCCCCTGATGGGCGGAGCATACGCCCCCATGGAGTTCAGAGACGATCATTTCCGCCTCATGTGGGCGTAAACACTTTAGCAAGGTCCCATTGTAGGACCTCTTGTACAGCTTCCCATCCAAGACGACGTAGCCCGGAGCTCGTCGCCGGACTAACCTTGCCTCCTCCTCTTTATCGGGGAGCGTCCCGTCGGCTATGTAGCGCAGGAGGTCATCCACCCAACACCAGGCGACTGGTTGCAGGGGAAGGACGTCAATGGACGGTGAGGCTGATATGCTTGAGGTCGTCATCTCCTCAATGCGTGCGATTCT